GGACTGGGGGTCTCGGCCGCCGCCAGCACCGGCGGCACTGCTCCCTGCCGTCACCCGCGGGGGACGGCTCTGACAGGCGCCTGGATCCCGGGCTGCAATCCCAGGCTGCAAACCACCTCCAGCAGCCTTGCCCAGAGCTCGGGTCCTGCTGCTCTCGGGAGCTCGCTTTGCCGTATCCGGGCCGTGCCCACCCAGGCCGCCCTGCCCCGGCTGTCACTCTCACCGCCCCGCTCATGAACCCCAAACGCCTATGTAGAAATTAGGAGTCACCTGCAGTCCCCCCTGTAGAAAACTGGCCCCGAACCCCAGGCAGCCCCACCCCACGGCGCTGAGCTCTGCAGGGTTCACGCAATGGCAGTAGCCGCATGGCTGATAGGTCTTCTCCAGCCCCACCCTCCCTGGGAAGGAGAGGACCAGGCGCGATCACTCTCCCTGCTGCAAGGACCCTCCTGGGCTGCGAGACCTGGACGCAGCCCTGGCAGAGAAGCCAAGGTGAGCAGCACCACGTGGGCCTTACGAGAAGTGGATTTTGGCCACTGTTTACCTCTCAAGCCATGGACGTGCCCAACAGGCCAAGCTGGTGGTTGTCTGAGAGGGAGGATCCTCCAAACACACCTCTTTCTCCCCAAAGACTACAGGGGAAGTTGGGGGGACAGCTCTCGTCCAGAGGGTCTTGCACAAGGCTTGCTCCTCTCCGGGCACTAGCTGGAGCATGTCCCCCGTGGCGAGGGACACGTGCGACCTCAGAACCTATGTGAAAGATGTAAATCGTGGGACACAAACGTCCACCTGCTTTTTCAAGTCCTAATAAAGGAAATGGGTAAATTCACATCCTGCTCTGTCCTGCCATGCCCAGTCTGAGCGTGTCCCAGCCCGCTGGTGCCAGTGTCGGTGCGATGCCCTGGGAATAAGGAGCAGCTCTTTGTGCTGCTTCACCCGACACTGAACCCAAATTGAACCCAATTGAACCCAAATGTCACCCGACCAGGGCCCCGAGCGCAGGCAGGGATGCAAGGCCAAGAGCAGCCGTGGGGGTCTCCTGCAAGCATGCTTGGGGGGACCTCCCTGGTCTGCTTGGGATGAGAGACAAAGGCCACCGCCAGGAACCAAAAGGGCCCAGGGCCAGGAACTCTGCTCCTGGCTACATCTGGCCTTGCAAGAGAAGCTAAAAAACATCTGGAGGAGAACAGAGCAGAGCTAGTTTGTTACTTAAACATATTCACTTATAAAATTGATTCACTAAAGAAAGGAGTATTCACAGCAAGAGAAGTGCACTGCCTGTTCCCGGTTTCCACCTTTGCCAAGATTTTAGGACTACAGAGCTCATCCCTCCATCCCTGGTTTTCAGATACGAAATGGAAGAGGAAGGCAAACTTTCTGGCCTTCCCAGTTCCCGACCGCTTTCTCATCTCTGTGTAAACAACTCGCTCAACTGACTTAACCGAGTAACAGGGAAACAAGGAGAATCTGCTGTTTGCACCTGGAGAGGAAGCCACCCTTGTCAAAAGCAGTTTTGGCGACCCCACTTCCA